ATGTATGACTGCAGGCCAGAAGAGGGCACCAGATCTCATTACAGATGGTTGTGAGCCACCATGTGGTTGCTGGGAACTGAACTCAGGACCTCTGGACCTCTGAGCCATCTCTCCAGCCCCTTGTTTTTGTTTTTTTTTTTTTTTTAACTTTTTTTTTTTTAATTTAAAGATTTATTTATTATGTATACAGTGTTCTGCTTGCATTTATCCCTTCAGGCCAGAAGAAGGAGCCAGATCTCATTACAGATGGTTGTGAGCCACCATGTGGTTGCTGGGAATTGAACTCAGGACCTCTAGGAAGAAGAGCCAGTGCTCTTAACCTCTGAGCCATCTCTCCAGCCCTTGTTTTTGTTGTTCAAGACAGGGTTTCTCTAACAGCTCTGGCTGGTTGTTCTGGAACCCACTCTGCAGACCAGGCTGGTCTCAAACTCAAGAGATCCTCCTGTCTACCTCCCAAGTGCTGGGATTAAAGGTGTGTACCACCACCGCCTGGCTAGAATAATACTTTCTTAAATCACATAGAATGCTGATTTGAAGACTAAGAGAATAAGTGTCTGGAGAGGCGGCTCAGCAGTGAAGAGCACTTACTCCTCTTATAGAGAACCAGGGCCACTGTGGAAATCAGTACGGCGGTTTCTCAGAAAATTGGGAATCAAACTGCCTCAAGACCCAGCCATACCACTCTTGGGCATATACCCAAGGAATGCTGATTCATACCATAAAGATACATGCTCAGCTATGTTCATAGCAGCACTATTTGTAATAGCCAGAACCTGGAAACAACCTAGACGCCCGTCAACTGAAGAATGGATTAAGAAAATGTGGTACATCTACACAATGGAGTACTACTCAGCAGAGAAAAACAATGACATCATGAAATTTGCAGGCAAATGGATGGAACTAGAAAATATCATCCTGAGTGAGGTAACCCAAACCCAGAAGGACAAACATGGTATGTGCTCACTTATAAGTGGACACTAGATATAAAGCAAAGATCAGTCAGACTGCAACCCACAGATCCAGGGAGGCTACATAGCAGGGGGGACCCTAGGATGACTGTGGCTTATAAGTTTTGGTTTCACTCAATCACTGGGCAAGCATCAGTGAAACATTTCACTATTAGGATAAGAATGTGTACTGTATCAAGCTGATGATAGAAAAAAATTAAATTAAAAAAAAAAAGAAAAGAAAAGAAAACCAGGGTTTGGTTCCTAGTAACCATATGGCAGCTAACAACCATATGTGACTCCAGTTCCAGAGAACCGACAACCTCTTCTGGCCTCTGAGGGCATTTGCACACATGTGGTACACATACATAAATGCATGCAAAACACCCATACACATAAAATAATAAGCAAATCTCTAAAAGAATAAAAGAGGGGGCTGGAGAAATGAATCAGTGGTTAGGAACACTGGCTGCTCTTCCAGAGGACCTGGGTATGATTCCCAGCACCCACATGACAGCTCACAACCATCTGTAACCCCAGTTACAGCACATCCAACACCCTCCTCTGGCCTCCTCTAGCTCTGTGCATACATGGAGCACAGGCACTCAGGCACAAAGAAGCACATACATAATTTTTTAATAATAAAAAATGCTGGAGAAATGGCTCACTGGTTCAGAGGACCCAGGTTCAGTTCCCATGGCCCACATGGTGGCTCACAGCCATCTGTAAGTCCAGTTCCAAGGGATTTGATGTCCTTTTCTGACTTGCACCGCCTCCAAGCAAGAATGTGGTCCACATACATACGTGCGGGCAAAAGCTCATTCACATAAATTAGTATTTTAAAAAATTAATGACATAAGCTTCCATCACCGCACAACTACTTACTTAAGCACATTTTCAGTATTACAGGGTAAGCAGAAAATACTCATATTCATGTAACTTCTAGAATGTTTGTCGTTTTATGAGCAAAAACTGCTTGATTCTTCTCCGGGTTTTGCCACACAAAATAATCTGAATTTTAAGAAGTTGTGTTGGGTTTGGTGGAGGAAGCGAGTGGAATTCACAGTGGGGGAATGTCAAGTATAGGAAGGCGACAATGACGGAGCAATGGCATGAGGTAACATTTCCTTTTCTTTCACTTAAAAAATCATTTCTTTATGGTGGTGGGCACCATGCCAAGGCGTGGGTATAGAGGTCAGAGGACAACTTACTGTTGTTCTGGCTCTCATCTTCCACCATGTGGGTTCAGGGAGTCGAACTCAAGTCCTCCGACTTGTCAGCAAGCACTCTTACCCCTGAACCACCTCTCTGACCCTGTTCTGTAATTAGTTAATGAAACTGTTAAAGCTTAACAGGGTGAAAACCTTGGAAGGCAAATGTCCTAATCGCTGCGGTCCCTGTCAAGGGCGGGGACTTTTCTCATGGCACCATTTCTGAAATGCAGAAGAAACACAAGCGGCTATTTGTCTCAAATACAGACTTGTTTGCCTTGGCCATCGGAATCCAGGAAAGTCACCAACGCGGGAGGACCACAAGTCCCATAATGCACTGGAAGAATCCCTCTTCGCTGAACACCGGCTCTTACACACTTTGACCTCCAGCCGCACCGGGCAAAACCCGACAGTCGGGGGCCAAGATGGCTTCGGCTGGCACCAGAGGGGGTGTGGTTCCCGGGGAGGCCACGCCCCCAGAACGCTACTCCAATAGGGGCCGCCTTCGTGTCCATAGCGACGGCGGCGGCGGCGGCTGTCGGCTTGCTTAAGGAGGCGCCGCCGCCGCCAGGATCTCGGAGCTAGGAGTTAACCCCGAGGGGGAGCGGGCTCCCCCTCGCGACGGCGGGGACAGACAGTCCTGTGGAACGAAGAGACGGTCCTCGACGTCCAGCAACGCCCAGGAAGAGCTGCAGCGGGCGAGGGGCGGCCATGAGCGACCAGCTGAGGCCAGCCCCGGGCTGCTAGGGGCAACTCCAGCAGCCCCTGAGCTCTCCTCGAAACCTCGGGTGGGCAGTGTCTGCCGTGGGTTTCCTTTCCTCTATCCAAGCCCAAAGGGTATCAGCCATCAGATGCCCGACCCCGACGTGTTCACATAGGGAAACTGAATCCTGGCTCAGGGAAAGGGCCGGCCCGAGAACCTTTGATCATCAGCTGTATTTTAAAGCAAAGAATCATCCAGTTCTGTCAGCCACCTCTCTTCCCATTCAGGAAACAAAACAGCCGTGATCGTGGCTTCTGCCAGCTCTGTTCTGCATGCACTGCAGTGTTTTGAATGATCCAGGGTAATCCTGGATGATGGTGGGGTCTTTTAGTTAAGGACTTTACATCCTACCAACATCCCATGCTCTCTCCATAGCCCTCTACTTGGAAACAACGTAGTCTACAGTAGAATTGGTCTGAAAGGGCAACATTTCCTTATAGCTCCATAAAGGGTCTCTGGGTGAATTCCTGCAGGACTTCCTGGGCCTGGAAGGAGGTCTGATATTTCATTCCCATCCCTTTCCCCTTAGAATCTAAGAGGATGGAGCCCAGTACCTGTAAGACCAGTGAATCTGAGGAAGAATATGTTGAGGAAGAAGAGTCTGAGGAAGAGTGTGTTAGAGAAGAAGCGACCACCCCCAACTCTTCCCAGCAGGCACTTGCAAAGGCTGACTATAAAGAGTTTGAGAATGGGGTTACCTTATCTGTTGTGGCCAAGAAAATCCCAAAGAAAATCCTAAGTGTAACAGACACAGATGATTTGGAAGCTGGGAGGAGAAAGAGGAAGCGGAAACGGAGGTAACTTTTCCCTAGATCCCCACAGATCTGGCTCTAGAGAGTCAGCCCTTCAGCCTCACACCGCCATTTGGTAGAGGAGAACGATGAGATAGATCTAAGCTTTTCACATTAGCCTTTGGGAGAGGAGAGGAGAGCCAGGCTGTGGTGCAGAGCCAGGTTGTGGTGCACGTCCATCAATAATCCCAGCAATAGGAAGGCTGAGACAAAAGAATTACTATGTTGCCGGGCGGTGGTGGCGCACGCCTTTAATCCCAGCACTCGGGAGGCAGAGCCAGGGGATCTCTGTGAGTTCGAGGCCAGCCTGGGCTACCAAGTGAGCTCCAGGAAAGGCGCAAAGCTACACAGAGAAACCCTGTCTCGAAAAACCAAAAA